GACGAAGAAGAAGAAGAAGAAGAAGAAGAAGACGAAGACGAAGACGAACAAGAAGACGAACAAGAAGACGAACAAGAAGAAGAAAAGAGAACTGAAAATATTAGAATTGTCCAAGCAACTGAGTGTGCTTTCAGATAAGTAGTTGATCTTTCCAAAAAGAACATATTTTTACATTATAAAGACCTGAGATTGGTTTTGCTCTTTAGGATTAGTTAGTTCTTGAAATCTAAAAATCTTTCAATCATATCTAGTATACTGTAAAAAATATGTGGTCCTATTTAAATGTTAACATTTCACTATCAAGAACTCCAAGAACGGAGTTATTTGACCCATTATTTTAAGAGATGACAGCTCCTATTGTGTCTAAAGGGTTTTTAAGACCAAAAATGTAAGCATAAGATGTGCAATATACACACATTAATTTGCATACACTTACAGCTTGTACCTCTTATATTCAGTATTTAATAGTAGCTATAAAATGTTTATAACTCAGATATATATTTAATATATATTTGCAAAAGCATCTAAAAAGTACACTTTAAAGACAAAATTTTTATCTGATTTTGGAATAGAGCACTTGCAATATTTCATGGACTGCGGCCAGGTTCTTCTCAGAGGATGTGTGTAATTTAAACTGTTAAATTAACTTGGAGAATACGTTAATTTGTAAGCCATACTTAAGATTACGAATATTCAGTGGTTTCCAGTCATGTGACAGATGTCTTACTTCCCCAGCTCAACCTGACTTCTCACACATAGCCCTGTTCAGGTGTTAACTACCACATTATCTGATCCTGGTAGTTGCCTCCCTGATTTCTTCCCCCACCCAGACATTAACCATCAATAACAGTCCTGATGGCCCTGTCCTGATGGGGAGATAAGGCCAACTGTGAGTACACCAGCCAACAGTCATTTCTGAATTGAAAGCATGACTATCAGTCAATCATCTTATCCCATAAATACAGGGACAGCCCGAGAGCCCATTGAGCTCTCCTTGCATGGCAGCGAGCTGCACGCTGGGATCTCCCCTTGAGCAGGGATGCCTCTCAAGGATACTCCTCGAGGTTAAGAGATCCTTCCCGCTACAGATTCATGGTGACTATAGCACGCCTTTCTCTTTTGAACTTGTAAACTTTACTTTGTAACTGTGCACAAATCCCTTAGACATAAACCGTTGACCAGGTCTGGGACTAGGACTGGATCCAGCTGCACCCAGACTCCTCTCAGGAGGAGTTTGGAAAGCAAGGGTGTCCAATCTGAACCTCGTGACCCAACGGGAGGGTGTCCTTGATAATTCTCTGTGTATCTTGAACCTCCATGCAGTAACTAATAAGTGACCTTGCCAGAGAATCTCGTGAAACCATTGTCATTACCAATAAAACCTATTCCTATTTCTTTCCCATGAGTGAAGTGCATTGTGTCAGTCACCCCCCACCACCACTCGTTCCGTGACAAGTAAGTACCTTCAATGTTGGACAAAAGCAAATTGTGGTGCTAAGAAGCAATGTGACTGCTGGGAACTGTATTTATTAGAAGGGATTGTACTATCTCTTTTTCCTCTTATTTTTTTCCTAGGAATTATTAGCTCAAGCAATATACTGTGCTAATGAGATCACAGGGCTGTCAGTAAGACACTGGCTTGTGCCTGGCCAACTCAGAGTGCAGGCCAAAGAGCTGAAGTCCATCTGGAACATTGTGTAAGTAGTTTTCAACATTTTCAATTTGTGGATCCCAAAAAATTCCAGTCAAGGTGTAGGCCCCTGGAAAAGACTAATGCCAATAGGCTTGCTTTTCATAGTTGCGCTGCACAGTTCCACTTTATAGTAGTCCATGGCCACCCAGTGTCCATTGATCACACACAGAAAAACCCAGATGGTATCCACATCTGTAGGAGATCATCATATTTTCCTGATAATATTAAAGAATTACTAGTGTAATGACTATAAATAATGACTTGATCTTTTCATCTTGAAATTAAAAGGAGACTGAGTCTAAACTGTGTCCACTTAAAGTACTTTATTTCCTTACTTTCTTTGGAAAGACAACATCTGTGTTTGGAAATAAAATAAGAGTTAGCCTTAGAGCTTTAAAGGGCAGAAAAAATCCTACACTGATAATCATCACCTAAAGATTACTTAATAGCTCTAACATAAAAATGAGAATTAAAATAACTAAGGAAAATTCTATTAGAAGGATACTTTTCAAATGACAACATGGGATGATAAGCATCTTTCTAAAATTAAAACTTCCAAGCAATAAAATACAGTTCTTATAGAGAATCATTGGTGTATTTCTCGGAAGATTTTAGCATGCTCCATTTTATTACAGACATCTCCATTTGACAAAGTTTCATAACAATTTTGAATCTATGCTATGAACTGAAATGTACAGGGAAGGTATGAAATGAATACCAAATCAGGAGAAATTGTAGCATAAATTTACCTTTTCTGTGTATAGAGAGTATTTGTTCCACAGAAATAGATTATTAAACTCCAAAGTGGTTGGAGAACCCATGTAAAAAATACTCTATATTGTAGTGAGCAAAGTTATGTCAAAGATGGCTTTAGGATGCCTATGTCTTTAAAGAAGACTGCATTATTCACTTCAACTTTGAACTACGATGATTGATTAGAAAATAATGGTTAAAACACACACAAAAAAAAAAAAACACAGTCTGGGAGATGATAGGCTTTTGTTAAGAAATGTATGTTTTATTCATAAATGTATGCAATAACACTTTTTTTTTTCCAGAATAAATTATATTAGGATGGCAAACTTACCTTCCATGTTGGAAATGGGAGTACTGTCACATTTGCTTTCACACTGTTGCATTGATGGAGGTCTAAGTGTTTCTGGACACTCACTGGATGCTTGTCTGGTGTACGAGAGGCACTGTACTGTTCGCATCTGCTGCCCGAGACCACACTGTGCAGAACACTAAAGATAAGATGATAAAGTAAAACAACTCGAATGCAATTCTTAAATACAAAGCAAGATAACAGGAGAACAATCATGGATGGCACACATGCACAAATAAAAATAATAATAAAAAAAAGGAATTAAGGTTACTTGATTAATAAAAAGATATTTTTCATAAAATACTTTCAAAAATGAAAATTTTTGAACTATATAAAGGACTTGTCTTTCAAAGAAACCAAAACACAACGCAACTCCCTGAATGAGCTCAGATTCAAAATAAGAGAATCTAATCTACGCTATTTCATGTATAGTCTCTGAATTTAACATTTCAAGAGGGAAATCTTTTAGTTTTGAGCAAAGAAAAAAAAATCCAAAGGCAAGAAGAATTCAAATCAGCTAAAGCTTAGCATTCTATGATTCTATGAATAAGGATTAATTAATTTAAAAATAACGCATATGAAACTCATCCTGTAGAAATCAGTTTACTCTCAGCAAGTCCTGTTTGATAGATCAGCAGACAACCACCATTCTGTCTCTCATTTCAATATTAGGCAAACAAGGAAAAAACAAGAAAACTCAAAGAAATGCCTCTTCTTCGTTTCCCTTAAACCTTTATCCACAGAAGGTGCCGCTGTGCAGGAGACTAACAATAATACATATTGCTGATAATAATAATATTATAATATTCATACGGACTAGCTTACCTGTCCCCAGTCTCCAGTAACCCAGCGAGGAGGAGGACATCGGCCTAAACTACAGCGGATGCGGACTGGAGGTTTGCTTTCCTCTTGGCACTGAGCAGCTGGGAAATTTTTTAAAAGATCGCTACTTTTGCAGAGAACAATTCGGTGCTTAAATCCTTGACCACACTTTGGTGTGCACTGAAAATATATGGATACAAATAATAAAAATGTCAGCAAAAAGTCAGTTAAATTACCCAAAACATCCTTATGGAAAAATATGAGATTATATATGTATTCTTATAACAAAATTATAATCACCATTTTCCCAATATGGTAATAATTTTCAAATGTTTAGAAACTCAAATAAGCTGTTAGACAACTGCCTTAAGTTAAATAAGTCTTAATTTGATAATTTTTTTCCTTTGTTATTTGTATTTATGGTATTATATTACTATTTGCTTTTTTAACATAAAAGCTTTTAGTATAGGTTTAAGAAAAATACTTTGCTGTAAAGCAGACACGTACCACTATTATTAAACCCATCTGAGTGTGCATTTCAGTGATTAAAGTAAAACCTCATTATATAAGGCTAGTACAGACTTTCCTCTACATCCCTTACTGATAATTGATCTATAAGCAAGACATTTTTCCTCAAGGAACACATGGAAAGATGAATGTTTTACTGAACTGTAAACAAACTGGATTCTTGGTTCAGATAGAAATTCTCTCTCCTACTATGATTTTTTTAAATCTTTTCAAGTTTTAATTCTGTTTTACTTCCTCCTTCTATCACTGCTGTGTTGGTTTTACTAGCAAACAGATATAACAGCAATTTGAACACAGGCAGATTTAAGGACCTCTCTGCTTTTGCTCCTATTTCTTCATGCTGTTTTTCTCTCCTTCTTCTATTTTGCTACTCATTAACTCTCATTTACATTAGCACAACAACGGCAATTACATTAGCATTTACAACAGCATAATGGGAAGAAGAAAAATGCTAACAAAATAAAAACACAAGACTTTCCCCAAATCACTTTCTCTTAAACAGCCAAGTTGGAGATTTTGCAAGCACAATATCAGAATTCCTTATAGGCATGTTCATCTTTGTCCTGCAAGCATAACTGCATTATCTGCATCAGAATCAACTTCTGATACTGCAAATCCTACACATGGATTATTCTAAACTTTCAAGAGTGGAACTGTCTTTCATATGCAAGCAGCTACAGAGATATAATATTATCTGGAAAGGCGAAGTGAAGCAAAATTCAAGAGATGGAATGCCAAAGACGTTCCATATCCAAATAGGTCACCATATAATAAGGATATAAATATATATAAAATTTATTTTTGGAAAATGACTTCAGTAATCCGAACTTCAGGGTTGTATGCCTACAGTGCGACGTAAAAATATTGATATTCTCTGAACATACGTCAATGTGCATGTATATACTCATCCACCTCAAAATAAGATCCATGGGAAGAGAAACTCTTAGTGGGAGTCACCTAAACTAGCCAATGAAGAGCTGATGATAGGTTTATGCTCCATCTTATCTCTGCCTAGTATCTTTAAGTGGACTGTAAAAGAGGAGTGACCTCCATTTGGAGTTTATAATTCAGGACTTCCAAATCAATCAATCAATCAAACTATTCTTTCATTTTTAGGAGAGGTACTGCCTCCTTATCTACATTAGTTCAGTGTTTACAATTCTCAGGCAGAATAACCAGGTTCAATCTTCCTCCTGCATTTGGGACATGAAGCCCAAATCTCCCATCTCCTCCACAAAGTACACTAAGTACCTGCTTATTAGAAAACAGGAGGAGGAGGGTCAAAGGAGGAAACCTCTCTGTCTCTGTGGCAGAAAATGCACCATTATGCAGGAAGAATTTAATATTAAAGCTAAATGGAGACCAAAATAGAATGATGATGAGTACATCAGGCCTTCAACAACATGATCATTATTCCTCAGATCTGGTCCAAATTCCAAGGGACGCTGCATGTATTTTCTTCCACAAATATTTCATATAAAATAGGCAAGACGTTCGAGTGAAAAATAGAAGCAGGTGCCCCTGCCTAGATGAGTGCTTAAAAATCACATGTATTAAATCTCCTGTTCCATTTAATCTTTGAAGCATTCTGTGAAAAGCAAACAGACAACATGTAGGAAATTGAGCAGACTGTCCTGCTGTCATCAGAGTGGACTACAGATTGGTGATCGGTTCACTTTGTAAAACTGGAGGATGTAGAGGTTAGCATTTCCTTAGAGGTACAAAGGATTATATTCTGAACTCTGGAAAGTTACATTAAAACGCAATAGAGAAAGCTATCAGCTGATGACTCTTAAAACAAATCAGTGGCTACAGCTGTATCTCACATGGAGCTCAGTCACTAGGAACGCTCCAAGAGTGTCTTCTAAATTGAGTCCCTTTCCAAAAGGCTTTCTAAATTGAGGCCCTCAGAACAGGTATGTGGGGGATTGTCTAGTGTGTGATTTGCTTCAGCAAATGGCTGCCTCAGCTTTTCTTCTGTGTCGAGACAGGCAGGCAAGAAGCAGAACTGCTGATAACCAGGGAAATAAATGTCAAAAAGCAGTGCGCCTAGGGAGTGTCATAACCTGTAGAATTTGGTAGCAAATCAGAAACTGCATAATTTATTGAATGGACACTATTTCTTGTTAATACTGAGAAAATGCCTAGATATTCCAATCAGAAATCAAGGACAATTATAATGGACAAAAACAGCTTACAAGCTATCAGTGTCTTAGTAGACACTGATGTAAGAGTCTTTGATTGAACAATCTTTTCCACTCATCCATATTTCCTTCTTGCTCCTTTTTTTATTCCAAGTCACAGATTCATTTTTAAAGAGCTGAAAAAGCCTCTACATTTTCAGGGATGGACAAGGACTATTTTAAAGCCTTTCTGCCTTGATTTTGGTGCTCTACTTCTGGTGTAAAAAAGGCAGCTAATAACTGGGGGGAAAAAACATTGCTGAAAGGAGCCGCTTTTCTATGGGTTCAGGATATAAAGCAGACAACTTTTTGTAAAATAGATTTTTTAAAAAATCTGTTATCTTAAAACTGTACAGAATTAGAGACAGATTCAGCTATAAAGTTTGTGAATCGCTATCTGTCTTATGATATCAGATTATTTCTAAAACATGGTACATTACCAAGAAATTCAGAATACAACCAACAGTATTAGCATGGTAAGTTAATGAAAATAATTTGTTTTTCAGATGTTTCCATTATATTTTAGAAATAATTTTCTTTGATGTAAAAGCTCAATAAAAGGACAGGAATTTGTAGATCCTTAAGGCACAAAACCAAATAGCTGAATATTTGAAATAGTCTGTTTTTCAAATTTGATATTGAAAATATAATATATATCAGGCAAGAAACATTTGTCAAAAAATTCTTCAAGATAAGCTCTCTGAGGAATAATAGTTGGAAAGGAAGAAGGGTGTTTCAGCTAACAAAAGCAAATACATAAATTGGCATGCAATTACAGTGTTCTTGCAGTCCAAAGACTAAAGTTCAGTAAGAGTTTTCTGAGAAGCAGCAGGATAAAACAAACCTACCTCTCTGTTAACTAATTTTAAGACAAATACGGCTGCATGTGACAGCAAGGATATGGAGTTTGGAGACTTAGGAAATCCTAGCTTGAAGTATTCCAAAGACTACTTTGAGGTAAAACAGATGAGATAAGACCCTAGATAACAAGGAACTGCAAAAGTATACAGCTATTTTTTGTCCTCAGACTGGCATGTGGTAAAGCTCCATTCAAATCCATCAGAGACCAACAATAAATCTGCCTTCTCCTCTCTGCTACACAAGTTCACATCCTTCAAATTGAATACTTGAACCAACTTAAAATCATAACTTGGTTTATACTATAACAGATATCACAATGTTTAACAAAAGATGTTCTTTCTTTAATAAAGAGAACACCAATTTTAGGTGTGCCTCTCATTGCACGTTCCCAAGGAAAACAGTTCTTTGTATCAACATTATTTGAAGAAAACTGTAGCAGCTTAGTCTGTCTGTCTTATACTATAAACCATCACCTCTTCTCTCCAGTTATTTGCCTATGGATATGAAAATTCTTTAAGACAACTATTGCATACCAAATGACTATTATTATTGCATCTCTACTATTTTAACTATTCTATGCTACTATATTATATTATGACCAATATCAATAGTTCATAATCTTAACAACTTAACATAATTGACAATATATGTGAAAAGAAAAAAAAGAAATATGATGACAAAAATTGCTTCAATGCTCTAATTCAATTGGGTTCCAAATTCCTCATTAATCTTTAACTTGGCAAGTAGCAGTAGAAAACATTCAGTGGCTAAAGCTCTTGCCGTGACTATTGCCAATGAGCTAAGATTGCAAATTTCCTTACTTCTGACCAGTCCAAAGCGACCCACTGTGGAGGACAGGACTGGTTGTTACAGGGTTCTTTTTCAATAGGCTGGTGTGTTAAACAGTTGGTATTTTCCAGTGTCTCCTCCTCAGAAGGTCCGATCCTCCTGATGCAGAGAACAGTTCGTGAACGCATTCCTCCATCACAGGTCTTACTGCATTCTGACCAATCTCCTATAAACCACCTGGATAGAAAAAGTTAGGAAACTCAGTTAATATATTTCAGAAGTAGAAATGATAATTACACAACCCCAGAAATCAAATAGTTTAGATTACTAAACATGAATCACTTAACAATACACTTAAGCCAGTGTGAAATAAATAAGAACCTTATGGACCTTCCCAATGATACATTTTGATTCATGTCTTACTGCAGTAATATTTCCCAATAAAAAAGTACTTTGTAATTTTCATAGCAACAGTTTCCAACCTAGGCTGTAGTAGCTAAGTGTTGAGCCTGGAAAACAAAAACAAACAAAAAAACCCCACAACCTTCAATCATTTAGGTGGATTTGCACTGTAGTTACTTGAAATCACTTTCAGATGGGTAATTTGCAACTGGAAATGTTTGGAAACTACCGCAGTAGATCAAAGCACACATTAAACGCAAAGATGATTGCCTCTCCAGTAGCATTGCAGTGGGTGCTCTTCACACTTTCAATTTCTTCTGAAAATGGGGCTTTCCAAGATTTAATTTTTGTCTGGTTATGAAACATTTACATATTTTTTTTTTACAATATAGAAATGCAAACCATTCTTAAGCCTTAGAGTGAGAAATGTAAACACTAGTAAAACATAATTCATCATAAAAAATGACCTCAATAATTTTTTTTAAAGATTTAAATCACTGCATGATAGCTAGAGGGAATTTACAAATGTTCGTATGCAAATGTTAAAAGTCAAGAAATGTGCACTATATTTAGATTACTTAAGTGTTGTTGCAGAGGAGATTAACAGCTGTTAATCTGGCTGTAAAGTTTAAATTATGTTTTTTAAGGGATGAAAGGTTAATGCAATTCAGTGGAAATATTTCTTCAAACATGTTTATAATCATGTTTATATTGACATCGTATATTTTAGTAATTGCTTACTTGGTTTTAAATGGCTACATAGTAAAGGCAAGAAGGAAAAAGTGCCCACAAAAGCATGCATTGAGGAAAGTGCTCATTGAAGGACAGGGAGTGCAGCAAAGGTAGGAAACTACATCGAGTGATATAGTGTCTCCTGACCCAGGAGCCTTGAATTAACCTCATTTAATGAAGAAAATAATAATAATAATAAAGGAAAAAAAAAAGATAGTATTCCATCATCATGATTTTCATCATGCTTTTGCCTGTTGCCTATGCAGGATGAGGCAGGATACCAGGACATTATTACAGCTCTGTTGTCACTTAATTTGCAAGATAAAAAAGTATTAACATGGAATAGAAGAAAGCAAGTACAAAGTGCCGAGTATATGAGCAGAGTTAACTACTCACTCAAATTGGACCACTCCTTCAACTGCTTAGCATCAGACATACTTTGGGAGATACAGTGTTTTCATTAGATCTCTACCCTAGCCAGATACATTAGAGCTAGTTACCCTACAAGTTGTTAGGCACTTAAGTTAAAGCTACTTTAAAGCCTAATAAAGTGGCATCTCATAACTGGAACTATTTTCTGTGAAAGAACATAAAGAATCTAACTCCTTCCTTCCTTCCTTCCTATATATAATCTTCTCTCATCTAACATCCTGAATACAGCAACGCAATTCTCAGATACACAGATGACTGTTACAGCAAACACTGTTCAGTTATTTTTGGTAACGTCCATCAAGTATGTCCACAGCAAAATTCTTACCTTCTACTCTTTTGCCTTAGAGTAGGGGAAATGATAGCAGGATTCACTGTTTCAATTTGTCTGTGGCTTCTGATTGCATTAAATAAAACTGTTTTTAGATTTAGTTTTATTTTTATCACATTCTTTTGGAGACATTTAAAAGTATGTTGTTGTTGTAACGACTGTGTTTTAAATAAAAAGAATTAACTCTGAAATACAAGCAAATTATACTGAGTAGCAGTCAGGTATAATGAAAGGAACTGTGATGGAACAGAATGAGTCAACACCAAGTTAAAAGGGTCTGCCAGAAAAAGATAAGCAAAACCACCAGTATGACCCACTGACTAGAGTGGACAAGGCTAATTAGCAGAACTGTGACAACAATGTTTCCTGGCTCAGGGTCAGGAAAACAGAAGCTCATGCTTAGTTTTGCAGCCATGACATTTGCTTTGCTAGCTGTACTAAAACTTACCTAACAGTTTAAACTCACAAGCAAGAAGATACGCTAGTGAGAGGAGGGGAGCCTAAAGGCTGATCAATGACACTCATGCACATTTTACCCTAAGCACGGATGGGATTTTTGAGGGCCAACTCTGTGGCACATTTGGTTTCACATTCAGCATCACATATGCTGAATAGATACACTGCCTTAAATCAACCCTGCAAATTATTAAGCTGAAGCCCAGCATGCTGTCGTATGCTGCCACATGCCAGAAACTGTCAGGCGTGTGACGTTTATTGTGGCTGTTCTTGGAGGTGAGCTTGGGATTTGCCCAAGATCTGTCATTTTTGGAAATTTCTGTCGAAGGAGATGCACTGCTAGGCTTTTGTGTATTAGAGAACGTATCACATGCATCGATCCTTTAATTTTTCTCTGCTAATTTTGAGCCCAGTGAGGCAGACGGATCCCAACAAATTTGCTATATTATCCTCATTAGTTTGATTTTTTTTGATTCTTTGCCACCAAAATTAAGCTTTTACCATGGTAGGGAGGATAAGAATCGAGTGTTAAGCTAGTACCATGGTTAATTTGCTCAAGTGCCTTTTCAGGTACCTTCTATGTTTGTACTGTATCAGAATACATTATTATGCGTCTTTTACAAATAAAATCATGAAGCAATCCATAGGATCCAGAAATAATTACCAATATTTTTTCAAAAACTCTGGCATTTCAGTACAAGTGTACACAGTCCTTGCTGCTGTTCAGGGACCTAAGGTATAATGTTACTGGCATCCAGTTAGAAGAAATATGAGACTTTTAATTTTCATGATTTTTGGTAACTACCACAGGGAGATCACAACTGAATTAAGGAAAGGAAGTTTTTGGTCAGTCTGTTTAAAGAGAAAGCCTGACTGATAAATCTAAAACTGATATCTATCCTTGCTCAATATTAATGACTTTAGTGTAATAGTAAAATACAGCTATAGAATATCACCAAACTTAAACTGACCAGTGAATCAATACATTGTTACTATCTCTTTTTTTTTTTTTTTTTGAGAAGTTTTAATTGTTTCAAAGCACAAGGAGGAGCACATATGATGAAATTATTTCCCAGTACAAAATATCACAGCTGTTTCAAAACAGTTTGTAGTAAGATTAAGCTATGGAATATGTCCTTGCCAAATTTCATTTTTGAACAAATGAGCTGCTGTGTTTCTCATTATTTTTTCAATATATAACACACAACTATCTTTAAAAATAAAAGCAAAAAGACTTAATCAAGTATGCACCTAATCCTGAAGGCACACAGCATGATGGTATAGCACAACATCTGGGAGAAAGTTGGTTGACAAAACTACCTTCAGTAGATGTTTAGACCTACTAAGTAGTTTCTGTGTTTGCTATTTCCCATTTTAAAACTTCAACACAATTTTTAATGCAATGTATCTTAAAAATATGGCAAACTTTATGTTATGTAAGCATATATTGGAATGGGAATGTACGTAGTCTGCCCTCACCTCAAGGCTCTTCTGTCATTAGTACCTTGAGAGTGGCCTCCAGGTCTGTTTGCCACCCCCCCCCCCCCGCACTTACCAAACTGCTTTGGTATTAATTTTTTACTTATAGTGACAACACTGTGAGATAACACTGCTCCTCAATCAAATCAGACCTCTTCCAGGTCACAACTGATCTACAACTAATTCCAGAGGAACATTCAACCATAACCAATCCCCCTAGAATATCTCATCTGGTAAGACAGAACCCTAATGCTATATGAAAAATTTATGCCATATTTGCTCAACAGTTTCTATTACATATTATAGAAATATTTTTAGCCATACAAAATAGATACCTATCTTGGTAATTAATAACTTACTCAGATGGACAAGGCTCAGTGTTGCAGGCTCTTTGGTTTTCTGGAGGTTTACTGTCAGGATCACAGTAATTGTTCTGCACAACGGAGTTGTCATCCAGCCTTTTACACACCACCTCTTGTTTTTGCACACCTTGAGATGAAATTAAACACCACTAATTAGTAATTCTTACTCCTATACTTATTGACTGAAAGCATATTTCACTAATTGATTATTAATTCTACTATCCAACTTTAATTGGCATCTGAATTGCCTGAACTGACTGAATGCCCATGCCCTCTGACCACACAAAATTTTTCATTTTCCGTTAATTTTGGACCACCCCACTGCGAGAGGATTTTGAATTGCTGTTGTTTCCTAAAACAAAGGGAATATATTTATAGATTTACTAACAGATTGTTTTTATTTGTATATTGCACAAAATCAATTTTCCATCTACTCTTCTCTCTGAGTAAAAGACACTCCACTTTCCGAAGAAAATATCACCAAACATAACGTGGACACACTTCAATGCAGAATTATTGTTTATGTATGTGCTCTGGTATAAAATAAAATAACAATACTGGGATTCAGTGTTGCATTTTTATCCCTGTCATCCTATAAGCATTTTCTTCATTAAAATAATGGAAGCATTATTCATTCTGACAGATGCAGCTTTTCTGTGTAGATCCTCATTATGTCTGGCACAGATACGTCCCAGCTCCTCTTTCATTATTTAATCATCAACAGGCAGTTTCGGAAATGATTAATTCCCAAAATACCTTGAAAAATCACAGCCATAACAATATTTTTAAGGTAACATTTTAAGCAGATTTTTCAATTTAAAAAACAGGATGTAAAGCAGGGTGTTAAAGAACCACTGATATATGACAAAAGTGCCGTTTATTCTTGTAAACATAGTACGCAGGGCTTCCTTCTCTGTTTTTAAAACAAGCAATGTGATATTTGTTGGGATATATAGACTTTGGAGCTGCAATTCATACACAGTTCGTATTGAATATGAGTAGTCATAATACTTAAATAATGGGATCATTTTTATCATAAAGGTGCAAAAAAACTCTAAAGCCTTCTTAAAAAGGGAAGCAATTATTAATTTTTTTTCTAATTTATGAAATGCATACAAATACATAGAAATTAAAACATCCTGGCTTAAAATATCAGGCAACTTCATTCTACAGCTCTCTCTCTTCAAAAAGAAGAGTTTTATAGGAGATAGACATTTGCAAGATGTAATAAAGTTAATTATACAAATTTTTACAGACACTAAACATCCCACTGAAAAAAAAAGGGATGTCTTTTCACCAAACAGTTTTAGCCTTTTTGTTCTTTTTAAACTTGCTTAGCAATTTACCTATTGTTTCCAAGATAGTCATTAAGGACAAGAACCAAATGTACTGTGGTTCCTAAATTGAGACCTCTAAGGAATTTAGGTATTTAACTCCAACATGGAGCCAAGTAAAATGCCCCTATGATGTTCAGTGCAAAGAACATAGGGAAATCGTAACCTCCTTTTGCATGATAGCCCTGAAGCACCCTCTAAGAGACTGCAGGCACAGGAGTAGTAAGTTCACACCTTTCTCAGTTTGATGGATTCCTACCTCCCCTGAGAATACAGTAACTTCTGTGACTCACCCAGTGGTCAATTTAGTCAGGTAAAATGGCCACACTGTTGTTGCTAGTTTGTAGATTATTTTGATTTTTATGCAACTACAGTCTAATGCAAAATGTACAAATCATCTCCTACAACCCAAAATGTACAAACCAAAAACCATAGCTGTCTGTGCTAGATGAATGCCCTTTTCACTAGTTTAAGTCCCTTATTTGTTTTCTTTCCCCTTGCCCCATGAATCTTGCATCCCTGGTTGCACTTTGGCCAGGATAGGTTGTTAGAAAATCTTCATCTTCCCTACCCTCTTAGTTTTACAGCACACAGAATATTCTTCTGGTGATGTACTTCGAGTATAAATCTCTTCAAATTGAAATAGGGAACTGATGTCAGGGAGAGGAGATCACTTAACATACCATTTATGGGCCATAGGCTGCCTGTAGGCAGATTCCTGTTTAGCATGAGGGCACAGTATCGGCCCTCAACATCTTGTGTCCTCCATTAACCATGTTTATACCAAAAGTGCCTAATGCTGGACTCTTGACCCCTCTAAAGCTCCTAAATTCAGAGTACCAGCTCTGCTACTGGGGAGAGATATCCTATTATTATTTTTATTATAGCAAGATCTAATTTTCCCAAAGCAGGCAAAATGTCTGACATCTCAGGTTATCCATAAATACCATGAACATTTTAAAGTAAGTTGTATTTAAGAGAAATAGATTGATTAACAAAGTATATATCCTACAGATAAACCAGGTAGACCAAGGAGTATCTTTTTTTGTTTGTTTGTTTTATCTTTATACACATATCTGGATGCCACACTAGACAGTTATAGGCACCACTAAGCACAGTGCACAAGCTGCCAGATGGCCTTCTGATCAAATCTAACATACACAAATATATATAAAAAATAAAAAGAAAACACCATTTCTGAACAATATTCAACCCACTTCACAAACTGCTCAAGCTCCATCTTAAAGCCAGATGCCTTTTTCAGCTCTGAGCTTCACAACCTTAAATAGCAGCATTCTAATTTCTAGTCCAGATATTTTAATGCAAAATTTATTTACTTAAGTCAACACATTGTTTCAATTTAAATAACTTTGCTTTGCTAATCAAGCCAACTCTTGCAGTCTCTGCATGGAAGTTAGAAATGCCAATTGCCTTGATCATCCTCACAACACTCCTGTGTATGTGTTCATGCTTACTACATCCACAATAAAAAGTTCCCAGAGATTTTCCACAGAGAGATTTTGCGAATGCCTTAACCGGCGTTATTAAAACTTTGAAAGAAATATACCTAAGACCATATTTGTCTTTAGACAGAACAGAATAATACGAAAATCAATCAATAAATCAAAAATTTCAATCAGCACTGCAATATGGTTATTTATATATGTGAGACACAACTTCGATTCTTTATTTTGTTCCTTTATCATTATTTTAATAGAGAAAAAAATATAAATCACTGTAAGAAGGGGGAGACAAACCTTTACTAGATCAGGCTCTCCTCTAATGTCTTCCTTTGATTCCTGAGAATTAACCAGGAAACCTAAATACCTCGGAAGCTGGGACAAGATGATTCACTTGAAATTCTATTAACCATGTAGACACTAGAGTTTTAAGGTACAGACAACAGATGAGATAATGAAAATGTAATTAAAATAAAATGTGACAAGTCAGTCATCTTTTTTTTCTCTCTATTCGCACTTCACCAGTTTGAAGGAAAAAGACTATTTAAAAACAGTCAGGCCAAACACTGATGCCAGTAACATGGTACTGCTGGCTGAAAGAGAATTTATGTTCAGCTCTGACCGATGAATAATCATTTATCCTTTCCATCCAAGCTGTCTTAATTTTCTTGGTTACTAATATAATAATAGGTTGCTTTTGTAATTAAGTTTACTTTAAATGTAATTGCTTAAAAATAACTTATGCATACTTCAGAATTACACAATTTAATAATGCATGCCATTCCATCAACTATATTTATGGGATATTTTAGATATTAATATCATGTTTTCACTAAAATTCCAACTGGCACCATACACATTTCCTCCCAAGCTTTGACTAGAACCTGGCAGCATCAGGAAATTCATTTCTGAAGAGCTATGCAATAAGAAAATAGTCTGAAATACTATGAACACAAAGCATTACTGTGCTCAGTTCTCAAAAAAAAATATGCTAGCCATGGTATTTATTGAATGCAGGTCAGACAGCATGTCCCCCACAGAAAGCATTGGCCAGTATTCACTCACAAAGTGAAGATTCTTTAATCCATCCAGCTGGACATTCTGGTCCAGTTTTAAAATGTTCTGCAGCATCTTTCATTACAGTATGTGCTTTGCATATAGGAAACAATTATCATGGAATCACAGAATGGTTAAGGTTGGAAGGGGCCTCTAGAGATCATCTAGTCCAACCCCCCTGGTCCAGCAGGGACACCTAGAGCACAGGGCGGCATCCAGGAGGGTTTTGAAGATCTTCAGAGAAGGAGACTCCACAACCTCTCTGGGCATCCTGTGCCAGGGCTCTGGCACCCTCACAAGAAACAAGTCCCTCCTCACATGGAAGTGGAACTTCCTGTGTTTCAACTTACACCCCTTACCCGTTGTCCTGTCACCAGCCACCACGGAGAAGAGCCTGGCCCCATCCTCCCTACAATCACCCCTCAGGTACTTGAACATGTTGATCAAATCTCCTCTCAGCCTTCCATTTTCCAGACTAAACAGGCCCAGCTCGCTTAGTCTTTCCTCATACGACAAATGCTCCAGTCCCTTAATCATCTTCATGGCTCTCTGCTGGACCCTCTCTAGAAGCTCAATGTCCTTCCTGTACTGGGGAGCCCAGAACTGCACCCAATACTCCAGGTGCA